TATGAAATCCTATTAAATACTTTTTCAGCTGGAGTAGTTACAAAATCAATCAGATACAAGATAAGATTGGTGTCTTTGTAAGCATTGTGAGCACAAAAATTCCATTCAAAGGAACTGGGAAAGAATACATTGGAGATGACATAACTGAGATTGCTTCTGCTGTCAAGGTTTGTAGTTTGTAATTTGCAACTGTTCAATTTTTTCTATGTAAAATAGGCTAACAGATTTTATTTTTGCTGTATCTTTAGTATGCTATTCAGCAGTGCTGTGTCCAGTTAAAATCCAAGATTGTGAAAAAGATGCAGGCCCGTGAGCAGCAGGAGAGGAAACGAAATCTCAGCAAGTATGTCAAAGTTTTATTTGTCCCTCATAATTCCAGCAATCTCTGAACAATGATGCATTTTTTAAGTATGAAATAAAATATAGTTCCTACCAATGGGCAGGTATATCCCCGATGCTTCTGGTGCAGTATACAACGTTTTGAAAGAAATGGCACAGTTACACGCGGCAAAGAAGATTCGTTATGGGGATAATGATGTAGAACTACTAAGAAAAGTCTCAGAGAATTTGATTACTAAGGAAACATTGACTGAAAAGCTTGCTAAACATGTTGAACAGGTATGCTATCTGGCGGCGTGTGAGTGTGAATATTTCTTCTTATATAAAAACTAAAGGGATACCTCAACCTGAGTAGATAAGTGTCAGATTGGCAGTAAATTGATATAGTGGAACAACTCTTATCATGAGTATGTCCACCTTAAACGTTAAAAATAATATAGATTTAGTTTTGGTTGTACATAAAATAAGGGGTTGCTTGAAGAACTTCGAAATTAGCATCATAAAACCTGTTCGTCTTTTTTTCTTGAGCAACAGAAATCGTTTCTCTCAATCACATAACTTCTCTATTCATTCTGGATTATGTGCGTATCTGCTTATTAGCTTTACTTGAGTTCGTCTTTCAAGGAAACAACTATACCTTTAGCTTACATATCAAATGAAGCTTTTAGGCAATACTCTCTAGGATTGTATCCTAAATAGACTGTATGAACTGAGTTCATACAATGAACAGAAGATAAAAGACGGGCTAGGTGTACTTGAATTTTGATTTATTCATCAAATTTTGTACATAATTTCTGTATGCAGGTGGACTATGAGATGGCATTGGAGTATGCCACGCAGAGTGGGGTGAGCGAGGAACCCAGAGAAACAATATACATACAACCATTGGATGCTGAAAATAAGATGATCGACCTACAGGCTCCATTTTTTGTTTTCAGAGTCTTTCAGTAGGTTTAGAAAATCGATTTGATAATGAAAAGAAATGAAAGGGAAGATGATTTTTCCAAATTAAATTTATATCGTGGAACAAGAAATAACAATTATTGTATCTATTCTTTTAATTTGTAACAAATGCCAATAAGATTGATAAGATATTGCAGTGAGTTCTGAAATAGTGTTAGCTGGTGCTTGCCATTATAGTGCAAGAATATGAATAATGATTCGACTCAACCCACTAAGAACAAGGTTCTTTGCCAGTGAAAACAAAAGATGATGGCAGTTTATTGTGAGGTTGTTTCTTCCTGCACCCATCAAATTTCTTCTTGCATTCCATCAAATATGTGAGTTTTGTAGTTTTACTTTCCAGAGTATACACTAGACCAATTTCAAAAATATCTTTTCAGACGACACTCATCAATAGTATCAGGATTTCCTTCTCCAGAAGTATATTACTTTTGAAGTCAATAGATATACTACATATCGATGTATACTATCGATCTATTAACTATATATTCTTACAAAGTTATAATTTGCCAAGTCTTTATTATAAGTAATTGTGGTCGTTACTTAAATTTTTTTACAATAATAATGATGGATTTCATTGTTATATATGATTAGTTTTAAAAAATAATAATCAAATTTGCCCATTTTTAAAATATTTATGTAGTGGTTAAATCACAAAACATATGTATGTGAGAGAGATCATTTTATAAAGGGTTAAATATGTTTTTAGTCCCTGAACTATCAAGCGTTTTTATTTTTCGTCCCTATTTCAAACTTTACAAGATTAGATCCATGTCCTTAAGGAAACCATTATTTTTGGTCCTCCAATACAAACGGCGTTAAAATTCGGGTGATGTGGCTAACGTATAGGCACGTAGGATGACATGTATCGTTTGTAACATTTGCCACGTGTGTTTACATTTTAAATTGAAATTGATTAGTGATTAAATGAGCTGACGGAGATAAGGGCTTATATACTTACTAAGGGATTGGATCTTCTTAAGTGAATCAAAGACGAGGGTTGATAACTTTGTTTTATGTTGAACGTGAGTCGCGATTAGGGTTGATAACTTTGTTGCTCCAGTGTTCGTTTGCATTGTGTGTCAGGAAGGCGATTCGAAGAAGGTAATTTTGTTATTTTCGTTTATGTTTACTGTCACTCCATTGCTTGTTGTGCATTATGTGAGTAAAATTTGCATTTTACAATGTAGGATTAGCAATGGTTTTTGATTTTTCTCTGCATCACATGGGGAAGTTCGTGAAGAATAAGGGAATAGAATATGTGGGAGGAGAAATACATGTTATAAAAGGAATTGATCCGGACAGGTGGTCTTACTTTGAAGCAGTGGGATATGTTAAAGAATTCAAGTATGATGCAGAGTTCAAGCTATGGTGGAAGGGGGCAAAACAAAAGGCGATGAACAACCTGAGATTACTCAGTGATGACAGGGAAGCACTGTTCTTGGCTAACTATGCAGAGGCAAATAATGATGAGGTTGAAATCTATGTCCAACATGTACAACCTAGTCAGCCAGATGAAGTTAAGTTTTTGTGTTTTGGTGAAGAGGCAGTACAGGAGACGGAGGAAGAGGTAAATATGGAAGAAGAGGTGGAAGATATACATGCATATGTTGTTGAAGAAGATGCTATTGTGGATGAAGAAGTTGGTTATGTTATAAGTATTTTGTCACATTTTTATATAAACCATCCCATCCATGATACTTGGTCATTCTTTATAATGCTTTTACTGGATCAGACTTCATTCACAATTCTTGGCAACTTCATTTTTATAATGCTTTTAACTGGTTCAAGACTTTCATTTTTTCTAATGCTTTTACTGGTTCAATTACGCTATACCAGTAGATGTTTTAACTAAGTTTGACATTTTGATGTAACTGATTTTTCTATAACCTATGCTATAAATACCTCTTTGATTTAAAATAACAACTATATCACAGAACGAAATGCACATAACACACCGTAATTCAACCGTAGAATGTTGACATTTTTATTCATTTAAACCTTGACAGTACCTCCACACACAACATTCACCATCTATTACATTTATCTTCATGCCAAACCTCAAACACCAAACTCAATGTTAATTGCCCATAAGACAATACACAAGCCCCAACATCATTTTGAACTTTTTTCTCTCTTGCTCTAATTCCTTCTCAACTGTCCTTCTTCTTTCCTTAGATCCAACACAACACTTTTCAATCACCGACTCACTTCTCACTCCTCCTTTTAAGCTTCTCCCAATTTTTTCGTAGTCTCCTTCACTCACCCATCAAGATAGTTAAACACCTTGAAATTACTCGGCAAAAGATTACAAATCACGAATACAACTTCATCACAATCAAGTAAACATTAATCTCACTTACTGCCCACATTTCTACATCTATACACAGTCTCCCTTTGTTTTTCAATGTAGTTGCCTTCACGCACACATCTTTTCCCCACAACCAACAATTTCTTGCAGCTAAGTCAGAGAAGGCTCCACATGTTTGGGTGGACATTCCAGAACCAAACTCCTTCGCGGCACCATTTCCTCCTCTGTCAGCTTTCCATTTCCCTGATACAGTAATTCCAAAGAATCACTTGACTTCGACTACTCCCACAAAAACCCTATATCCCAAATCCATCCATTCAACTAAACAAGACTAAAATCACTTCGTGACTCATTACACCAATGTTTCGTAAGATGAATCCAACCTTTTGCTGGTTCACAAACCCTAATCCATCTCGGAAATTATGTTGCTTATCACGCCTTAGTCTTTGATTCACTTAAGAAGATCCAGTCCCTTAGTAAGTATATAAGCCCTTATCTCCGTCAGCTCATTTAATCACTAATCAATTTCAATTTAAAATGTAAACACACGTGGCAAATGTTACAAACGATACATGTCATCCCACGTGCCTATACGTTAGCCACATCACCCGAATTTTAACGCCGTTTGTATTGGAGGACCAAAAATAATGGTTTCCTTAAGGACAGGGATCTAATCGTGCAAAGTTTGAAATAGGGACGAAAAATAAAAACGCTTGATAGTTCAGGGACTAAAAACATATTTAACCCTTTTATAAACTTTTATAGTATTATCTTAATAATTATATTAATAATATTTTTTATGCTGAAAATGCACAAAACTTGTATTAGTAATATTTTTTATCTTGTGGATTATATTAATAATATTTTTTTATCCTGAAAATGCTTAAAACTTAAAATCAAATTATGTACTTACCTTTTTTTATAAGATTAATTAACTACTTTATCAGAAAAAAAGCTAGTTAAATTAATTCATTATATTAAATGTGTAAATTAAATTTATTTCATCAAAATATTTTTGACAGGAATAAACATTTTTAATCACTTAAAATAGTTCTCCACAATGTTGAACTAAGAAAACACTTTAATAATCAATTTTTTTTTAAATATTAATAAAAAATAGATAATACAAAATATTAACATCAAACAGTGGAAATGAAATATACAGTATAAAATATTTTATGTGGTGTTTTTTGCCCCTAAATTCACGGCAAGGAACATAGTCACCACCTCATTACAAAAGCCAAACAAGTAGAAGAAATAGTGAGAAGAAAGAGAAAAAGCAAGGTGAGATTTGATTATAAAACAGAATCGGTAGAAACATTACAATGCACTCTATATACATAGTGAAATTTGTGTGGCATTTTTATTGTATTGTATTGTATTGTAGTTATGGCGACGAAGGTTCCTCAGATCGCTATTCTGGGAGCTGGAATCTTTGTGAAGGCTCAGTACCTTCCTAGACTCTTCGAGATCGCTCATCTCTTCCAACTCAAAGCCATTTGGAGCCGCACTCAGGTAATACCATTCCTCCATTACTATTGCATTGTTTTATTTTCGCCTCTTTTTTTTTCAATCTCATCGGTTACCTTCAATTCATTTTTTTCTGCGCAGGAATCCGCTACGGTGGCCGTAGGCCTAGCCCGTAAGCGTTTTCCCGGAGTAGAGTGTAAGTGGGGAGACAGCGGTCTTGAAGAGATCATCCAAGATGGATCCATAGATGCTGTTGCTGTCGTTTTGGCTGGCCAAAATCAGGTTTCTTATTTCTCTTCTCTATCCTAATATTTATCTTTTCTCACTCAATCACTTGTGTATGCGTAACAATTAAGGTAATTATTTCTCATTTAACTTCTAATTAAATCAAATTATAGATAATAACAATCATGTTGCTGTCTACCTGCTGCATTGAATGCCATACTGTGTATTACCTACTTTCAAAATGTGGATTTGGTTATCCATGAACCAGATTGTTTATCTGTCAACTTTAATTGAAATTGGAAGGACTTTTATACTTTAATTCTACAGAATTTACAATTTCTTTGCATTTTCTTTACAAACAATCAATTGTTCCAGGTCGACATTTCACTGAAGCTGCTAAAGGCTGGTAAACATGTTCTTCAAGGTAATGGCTTTTGTAAATGTATCTGTTTACAAGTTTGTTAGCCAGATATTATCTTTCTTGTGAGGGTCAGATTAATTCCGTCGATGAGGAACTTGCCTGGCTACTTCACGTCATGCAAGTAAATTTACTTTGATAACAAATTTGTTTTTACATATATCTTTTGTGCCACTGACTAAATTTTATGTTTGTTCGGATATATTGTATGCGTTGGATGCCTAATTTGGTGGATATAAAGAGAAACCTGCAGCATCGGGTAATTAGTGTTTTGTTATGGCAATTGTATACTTCTATCTACACTAAATTGTATACTAATTTAGAATTGTTTATTGATGAGGTGGTATTGACTATGAATGAGAAGAATTGTTTCATCTAGTATGTTCAAGTCTTTCAGCAGTTGGGTTAGGGTTTCATAGTAAAGAGTAAGGTAAGGTAAAATTAGAAAGGAACATGAAAGCAGGAGATTAGTATGGCTACTTGATGTAATAATCATGTCTATTTGTAACAATCCCGAGTCAAATACCAAGCCATACACAGGTTAGATTACAAGATTTCACCAGGTGTTATAGACCATAATTCCCATCTCACTCTTATATTGAAAATCTAGTAGGACCTAGCGATACCTTTGATAGTGAGTTGGAAAAATACCCTTTCCTCTGTCACATTGATAACTTTTATGAGGTGTTCATTGTATAATGGTGTATTCTATCTCTTTCTAATGGTCGGTTACCTCATCATGTTGGTCTTTTACAATTTGTTGATTGTATTGTCGTCATGTCTTGTAGAAACGACATTCTAAGATGCTTTCCCATCTAAACTTAGGCCGCATTTGTCTGGGATGAAAATGGAGAGAAGGGAAGTTGAATTTGGTACTTTGGTGTTGAGAATAAGAAAGAATTGAAGAGGATGGGCAAAAAATGAAGAAAGAGAGAGGAAAAACTAGGATTTTACTTCTACAGTTTTGATTTGTGTCGTATGTGGTGAGGGGTATAATGAGCTTTATACTATTCATATAATTTATATCCAATCAAACATCAAATTACACAATTTCCAAAAAGCTTTATCTCTATTTCTCACCTATTTTTACTCTATCAAATGACTAAACATTTAATTTTATTTCTTACCTATTTATCTTTTCTCAACTTATTTCTCTATTTTCATTCCCTCTATTTATCTTTCCAAAACCCTCTATATTTTTCTTCAGAATAAAACAGGGCAATAGCATAACTATACATCGATATAATAATGCAGGTACAAGTGAATTGGAAATTGCGTTGTCTAGCTACAAATCTATTTCCGCTGATGTTCCTGGTCAATTAATATGGTCTGTGGCTGAAAATTACCGATTTGAGACTGGCTTAATAGAGGTATTTGTTTGTTTGAGATCTTGACCTATGAATCCAACTGTGGAGTCACATAAGTTTTTCGGCAGTGCAAGAAACTTATTGCTGGCATTGGGAAAATGATGAGTGTTCAAGTTATTATTGAAGGATCAATGAACAGTGCAAACCCCTACTTTTCAAGCAATTGGAGGCGCAATTTAACTGTATGTTCTTTGTAATTTAGTTGTGCACTGTTTGAATATTCAAATTTAAAAGAGCATTTGTTATACAACCTATGTTTTTGGATCACTTAAATGAACTACCATTCTGACCTATTAACTAAAAGAACTCTACTATTTATAATATAATAATAATAATTGAGTAATATATAAAATCTTAATACATGAACTTTATGTTGGTAGTGAATAAAAAGGAGGTATAATTATATTCCTCTCCTAGATTCTAATCCATGGAGTTACCTTTACAATACCGGAAATCCAAGTTTGGATTCTTTATATGTCTTAATCTAAGGAGTACTGAAACAATGTGATCCATTTTTAATAAGAATTTATCTTTTTGTTATTCCCTTTTCTGTGGCTATACTTGATAGCTAAAATATTGCAAATCAAAAACTCTTAAATAACTTGTCATGTTATTAGCATAACAGTTTATGCCTGTCACTAATTGTTCATTTTTGGTTCCTTATGTGATGTTGTTCCTTTTTTTCTTTCTGGCAGGGAGGTTTCATTATTGATATGGGCGTGCATTACATTGCAGGGTTAAGAATGGTAATCTTTGACTTACGGTGTGCATTTTGATTGTTTTATTTATTATCTCGTCTTTCTGGTGTTTCCAATGCAATTTATGGTGGCAATAAACTCTTATTATTGGTCTTATCAAACTGATATCCTTTGGCATTTTACCAAAACTTTGTCATTAGTGTTTAATGCTCTGCTACCAAAATACACTTGGGCAATTAAAAGTAATTAGTTGTATTTTGACCTGCTTATAGAAAAGTTGCTTGTTATTCTAGAAGTTGGTAAAGTTTTCTTTCAATTTACTTCTCTATTAGGAGTCCTAGAGAAGGGGCTTATAGGTCTGATTAATCTATATAATGATGTTATTAATCTTTTTTTTTTGGCAGCTTGTTGGGTGTGAGTTGGTTTCCGTTTCAGCAATGACGTCTCATGTAGATATGACCTTACCTTCCCCAGATAATTTATCATCTGTCTTGTAAGCTTCTATTTCACGGAGTTAATTTTACAATACCTGACTGGAAATCCAAGATTAATTTTGGAATCTTTTGCCTTAGTCATTTGGAGAATGGATGTTCAGGAGTTTTTGTAATGGTTGTCTCCTCCAGATCACCCAAGGCATGTGGTCAAAGATCATTCTTCTTTCAAAAGCACACTTGTGTCACGCCTGCTAGGCTGTAGATATGCTTACTGTTCATGCATTTATTTATTTTTAATATATTATAGACCTTGTGGCGAGTTGTTGGCTTGAATGGAACCCTGCAAGTTGAGCGTGGTTTCCAAGGAGAACATGGTTACCTGGTATGAACTGTAGTTTATGTTACTGGTTTTCATAAATAAAACGGGATCAATTTTTTATGTGTTGTAATGCTATGTAGGTTTCTTTTTATGGTGCCGATGGACCAAAGGAGAGCACCTTCTTTCCATTCAATGGAGTAACTGAGGAATTAAAAGCTTTTATTAATGATGTATCTGAAAACACCCTCAAGGTAAATTGAGTCCTCATGTTTGAATTCCTAAACAAATTCTCTAGTTCATTATTCATGTTACTCGTTTTATCATTTGCTTGTCCAAACATTCCTGGAACTAGAGATTCAGACTTCATGCACATTATAATAACAATATAAAGAACAACCTTGAACAGGGTGCTGTTTTCTAGTCTAATTTATTTCCTTGTAGCAGAAGGGGAGCCAGTTTGTGGCTGAGCCCCGTCTCTCTTTTGTCGAGGGTGCAAGAGATGTTGCTGTGTTAGAAGCAATGCTTGAATCTGGAGCTAGACAAGGTGAACTTGTTCAGGTGAAAAAGTTTTGAGGTAATCATGGAACCAACCCTTTTTCACCGGTGGCTTTGTTCAATGTTTACCAATATTTACTCTGTAATGTTATAGAACAATGAACTGAGAAAGGCAGTTAAGTATAGATGAATAAGCTTGTTTAAATAATTACCCTCATCAATGTCATTGGATGAAGCTTTTTTATTAGTGTTTGCTTAAATTTATTGAAATTATTGTTGGTATGCTCTTCAATCTGAAACTTCTAATAACTTGAGGCTCTGCAAACTTTTATTGGGCCACAGCTTCAAAATGTACAATTTTACCTGAACGGATTAACTTTTTAAAAAGTTAGGTACATTTGGAAGGATTCCTTTGTGAAGAATAAATTGCTTTTCAAACACAGTTTTGGTTTCTCATGCACGAATTGACTATTTTTTTTTTAATTTACACTATGTCTTTTTACTAGCATAATTTTGACCTTTTTATTTACACTAAAATTGTATTTGTAAATATAATTTAATGTAAATTAAAAATTATTAATGTTTCCACCTAAATTAAAAAAAAAACTTAAAATTGTATTTCTAACTTCTATAAATTGCTAGATTTGTAAATTTTTAAACTATAATTATTTTTGTAAACTATCAATTTCATACGAAATGTTAACGTAATTGTTAGATTTATAAAATTTAAATTCTGTAAGTTAATAAAGTTATGTTTTATACCCGAGGTCATTTCATCGATCTGTTTTTTTTAGATTAAATTATATCATTAAATAACTTTCAAACAAAAAACTGTATTTTAAAATTTGGAATTAGTGTTGTGATATATTGACCCTGAATTATTTAATGTTATTGAAAAATATTAAAACTAATTTACACATACTTTGGTAATGTATAAAAATTGAAATCCTTGGTTTTTAGTTTATTAATGCTCAAGTTTTGTAGCAATTAAGATAAACATTTTTTAGAAGTATTTTAGAGAACTATATATGTGGATAATGAGATAATGTGATGTGGGTAATAAGTTTATGAACTTTTTGTAATGATTATTTATAAAAAAATTACAGGAGGAAAAAGGGTAGTTTAATTTTATTTCTTAAAAGAGAAAAGCTTGTTCTTACGGTCCAAACATAATGCTGGGTTCTGGAAAAACTGAAGACAATTGCCGCCAACTTTGGAAACGTGTAGTCGATAATAGTGATTAACATATCTGATATTGGTCTTTTCAAACGCAATCTATAATCTTTAATTCCGAAGAAGAAGTTTAATTATTAACTTAATTTTTATATTTAGGTTTTTTATTTTTGTTTTAATTTTTATAATTTTTACAACATTCCTGAATTTTTTTAACACATTTTTTAAATGTTGAATTCCACACATTTTTTAACATTTGTAATTGATTACATTTGCAATCGATTATATAATGTTGAATTCTTTTAAAAAGTACACGAGTTCAGTGTTATAATTGTCAATATATGTTACATGATATTAAAAGATAAAAATTCATATTATGAATTATATCTTGATTATAATCAATTGTAATTAAAACATCAAAAATTTTATTATAAAAAATTTACTCCTTTTTTTTTCTCACTATTGATCGATTACAACATTACATTAAAACAGAAAAAACTACATTGTAAATTATATTTTTATTATAATCAATTGTAATTAAAACATCAAAAATCACATTATCAAGAATTTGTCCTTTTTTCACTCGTAATAGATTATAACATTGTTGTACAATGTTCTATAACATACATACACAAACAATTACAACATTAAACTTGTATACTCTCTGGTTGATTTCAACATTACGTAATCTATTTGTAGTTTCTTGTAATTAACTACAAATGTCGAAATACACGACTTTATTTTTTAAATTGTTCAGATTTAGAGTGATATATTTTTACATAACTTTTTCCTTTAAGTCGTAGGGAGATGTAGGACTTATCTATAAACTTTAAATTCTTTTACCAAATTCAATAATAAAACAATCAAATTTGTAAAGAACAAAAACCCACATCTGCTACTGTCAATAAAGATACCGCCGAGAACCTGAAAAAGAACATAACAGGATTAAGGTGTCAAGGACGAAAATGTCAACGACAGATCAAAGAGCTGTTAAGACTTTATTCATTTCAATGAAAGGGGAGAGACTGATTGAGAAAATTTGAATATAAAATTTTTGTTATTTATTTGAGTAGATTTGGAAGTGAGTAAAAGTGAATTTGAAAATAAAATTTGTAATAATTAGTGTAGGATTTGATTGATGTGATAGATTAAAAAAAATTTATTTACAAATTCAGTCTCACATACCTCTAAATCTACTCAAATAAACAAAAAAAATTATAAATTTCTCTAATCACTTTTTTCCAAATTCATTCAAGTGAACAAAATTTAATAAACGAAGAAAGAAAAAAATGGTGAAAAGAAAACTGAAAACTATCCAATTTAATTTTCTTCAAACTTTAGAACTGCAGTGAGCTTGCAACATATTAAAATACTGGTGGTGATAGATTAACACTAATCGAACAATCAATACCACTTAATAATTTAAAACAGTAACATATATCATTATATTAATAAAATAAATATAATTTTTTAGAAATGTCAAAATCTATATTTTTTAAATATTATTATAGCTTGGCACCTCAACTGTTGTGAAGTAGGCTTAAGCGATCCAAGACTGTCCACGTATTAGGACTCTATAATTCATGTCACTCTGAATTCGCATTGAGTATGGCACGCAGTGTGGGGTCACCGAGAAATCCACACCAACAACGTACAGACAAACATGTGTAACATGTTGATAATTTTATTAAAATTTATAATATTATCTTTAAAAGTATATTAATAATATTTTTTTATACTGAAAATGCATAAAGCACAAAAATCAAATTCTATGTTTGAAATAATATTTCTATAAGATTAACTAACTAATTTATCAGTAAAACTTGTTAATTTAATGGATAATATTTTTAATTAAATTTATTTATTTTTAAATATTTCTGGCATTAGTAAACGTTTTTAACCACTTAAAGTAATCCTTCACCAACTGTTACTGTTAAACTAAGAAAAATAATTTAATTAACAACGTTTAAAAAAAACTGATACAAAAAAACATAGATTAATGAAAAAAGCAACCTGCAATATGAAACGAATGAGTTAAATATATTTCAAATTCTTAAACTTGTACTCGAAACTGTAATTTATTTCCATTTTAAATTTTTATGTATTTTTATTTTCAAACTTAAAATATAAACAGATATATTTTTTTAATTTAATAAAATTAAATTCTTTTATATATTAAGTGATGTTTTAAATTAATATTTAAATTGTAACATAGTAAAAATAACTTAAATATTAAGATATTTATAATAACTAAATTAATAAATCTATATTTATTTACTCATCAAACTATATTAAAATTTAGAGTTACAAAATAAAAACATATTTATAATCCTAATATAAATAAATACATTTAATATTTAAAATTTATTGAGTGAAATTATATAAAAAAAATGGATAATGATACTTTAATAATATTTTTTTATAATATTTTAATATTATTTATGTGTAATTTTATGATTGATTGATGGTAGTGTTTATGATTATTGTGTTTGATTGTGAAGATCAAAATTACATTATTATTTTCAGAAAATATTTTATGTGGTGTATGTTGATTGCTCTGGAGTTCACAGCAAGGTTCACAGTCAGTCAACAGCTCATTAGAAAAGCCAAACACGTAAAAGATATCCGTTTAAGACTTGCAGCTGAGCAGAAACAGTGAGAAGAAAAAGAGAAAGCAAGGTGAGATTTGATGAGCAACAGAATCGGCAGAAACCTTAGAATGGGTTTTGTATAGACAGTGAAATTGAAATTTCTCTGTTATTCTTGTTGTATTGCAGTTATGGCGAAGAAGGTTCCTCAGATCGCTATTCTGGGAGCTGGTATTTTTGTGAAGACGGTTTACATTCCGCAACTCTCGGAGATCTCTCATCTCTTCCATCTCAAAGCCATTTGGAGCCGCACTCAGGTATGATACCATTCTTCCATTGCTATTGCGTAGTTTTGTGTTCGCTCTTCTTTCAATCTCATCGGTTATTTTGAATTCACTTTTTCTGCGCAGGGATCTGCTACGGCGGCCGTAGAGATAGCCAGTGAGCATTTCGCCGGCGTAGAGTGTAAATGGGGAGATAGCGGTCTTGAAGAGATCATCCAAGATGGATCCATTGATGCAGTTGCTATCGTTTTGGCTGGACAAAATCAGGTTTCTTATTTCTCTTCTCTATTCTCTCATTTACCTTTTCTCACTCTCAATCACTTGCTGCTATGCATAGCAATTAAGCTAATTATTTCTCATTTTACTTCTAATTAAATCAAATTATAAATAATAACAATCATGCTGTTGTCTACCTGCTGCATTTATTGCCACCTACTTTCAAAATGTGGATTTGGTTATCCAAGAACCAAATTGTTTCTGTCAACTTTAATTGAAATTGGATGGACTATTATACTTACAAAATTTACAATTTATTTGCATTTTCTTAACAAACAGTCAATTGTTCCAGGTTGACTTTTCACTGAGGCTGCTAAAGGCTGGTAAACATGTTATTCAAGGTAATGATTTTTTTAAACTTATGTGTGTATACAAGTTTGTTCTCCAGATATTATCTTTCTTATGAGGAACTATTGCCTGGATAGTTTACATCATGCTATAGTAAATTTACTTTGATACAAATTTGTTTTTACGTATATCTTGAGCCATTGACTAAACTTTATGTTTGTTCTGATATATTGTATGCGTTGGATGCCTAATTTGGTGGATATAAAGAGAAACCTGCAGCATCAAGTAAGTGTGTTTTGTTACGGTAATTATATACTTCTATTTACATTAAATTGTATAAGAATTGAATTGAATTGGAAAAATAGTTTCTATGAGCTAAAACTGAAAAACAATTTGGATTGACTAAACTGTATTTATAATCTAACTGAACTGTTTCTCATATACGATCTCAATATTTTCTTTATAAACTCTACTTAGAATACACTGTGGATATCGAATTAAGTTTAAATATGAAAGTGTTGTGTGAGAGAGAAGTACTTTTGATGGATATAAGCAACTAGAGTGAAATGAGATTTCCAAAATCATAGAAGAGAATTTGGTTGACATCTGACTATTTTTACTGAGAAATTGGTACAGTTTTTTCATCTTTAAACTGCCAACAGTTCAGTTCAGCAGTGCACTGAAATACTCTTTTTGCAATTTAGTTTTTCTGAACTAAACTTCGAGCATACTTTAGCTTTTACAAAAAGCATTTTAGTTTTTCTTTTTAAAATGAATTCATTGCAGTTCTTGAAAGTTCAACTCTACTTTTGCCCACCTCTCTATCTCCATACATATGAACATTTTAGGTTGTTTTTTTCTTTATCCTCTTTTATTATTACTGGTTTAAAATCCGTGAATAGTTGTTTTTATTTTGTGTGCTTTTTATATTATTTTATTAAATTAAAAGAATTACGGTTATATTTATTATATTATTAATAAAATATTTTTGTAATTTATTGTATATATTACTATTATTATTTAATTTTATTACTATTATATTTTAGTTGATGGTGTAAATGGTATAAGAAATAATTTTCATAAAAACTGAATAATAAAATTTATTTCTTTTTATTTTATTTTAAAATATAATTAAAAACTTGATTCAAAATTTTAATTTTAAATACTATTTTTGAGGTATATAACGAGGACAATTGCATTATAATTGCTTGAAAAATTTCTAATTAGTTCTATATTTTCGTATTTTTCTTTAATAAACTACTATACATGTGTATGTGTATTGTTTATATATATATATACATATGATAATGTGTTTTACAAATGCATTACCATCTTTATGAATTATATTGATATCTTATTTAAAATCATGCAAATGTTTAATATTATCTTTTGTAAATAATGTAAACAAGCATAAAATTTGTACTTCATCAAACGACTAAATATTTAATTTTATTTCTTATCTATTTATACTTTCTCAACTTGTTTTTCTATATTCATTTATGTTAAAAGTTTTACGTCATGATAAAAACCCATTTAAAATATGTATAGATATAAATCTTATTTAATAAATAAGTTTTATAGAATTGAATTAGTTTTTAACATGTATCAAAATCATGATAAACGTTTTTCTGAAGTTAAATTAGATTTAAAATTCAATTCAATTTGTCCTTCTTTTTAAGACCAAACAAGGCAATAGCATAACTATACATGAATATAAAAATGCAGGTACAAGCGAATTGGAAACTGCTTTGTCTAGCTACCAATCTATTTCTGCTGGTTCTCCTGGTCCATTAATATGGTCTGTAGCTGAAAATTACCGATTTGAGTCTGGCTTAATAGAGGTATTCGTTTGTTTGAGATCTTTGACCGATAAATCCAACTGTACAGTCACATAAGTTTGTTGGCAGGGCAAGAAACTAATTGCTGGCATTGGGAAAATTATCACTATTAACCTGATTATGGAAGCATCAATGACCACTTCAAACCCATACTATTCAACCAGCTGGAGGCACAGTTTCCCTGTATGTGCTTTGTGATTAAGTTGTGCGCTGTTTGAATATTTAAATTTAAAACACCATTTCTCATATAACCTATGTTTTGGATCACTTAAGTGAACTACCATTCCGACCTATAAACTAAAAGAACTCCACTATTTAATGTAATAATTGAATAATATATGAAATCTTAATTTCTGGATCAACTTTATGTTGGCAGTGAATACGAATGGGTATAATTTTATTCCTCTCCTAAATTCTAATCGATGGAATTACCTTCACAATACGTGACTGGAAATCCAAGTTTGGATCTTTATATGTCTTAATCTATGGAGTACTCAAACAATCTAATCCATTTTATTTTTTTCTTCATTTTGTATTTCCTTTTCTTTGGCTATACTTGATAGGTAAAATATTGCAAATCCAAAAGTCTTTAATAACTTCTCATGTTATTTGCATAACAGTTTATGTCTGTTTTTTTATTGTACTAATTGTCGATTTTTGGTTCTTAAGTGAAGTTGTTCCGTTTTTTCTTTCTGGCAGGGAGGTTACCTGCTTGATATGGGCGTGCATTTCGTTGCAGCGTTAAGATTGGTAATTTTTTTTTATTATTATTATTATAATCTCTAATTAATTTCTCTCTTAATTCAATCTTACAAAATCAACTATTTTCACTCATATAAAAAATAAACTTTAAACGTAATTTAACTTTACAAAATCAATTTATTTATGTATGCAGTTTAAATTGACCTTTTTTTTATGATTTTCAACCATTTTGATTGTTTTATTCATTGTGTCGTGTGCTTGTGGTGTTTCCAATGAAATTTACTATAAGAATAAACTCTTTGGTATCTTTCTAAAAACTTTATTAATAGTGTTTAATGCTCTGCTACCAAAATACACTTGAGAATTGAAAAGATAGTGGTTGTATGATTTTTTTTTTTTAAGAAATACTGTATTTTGACCTGCTTAAAGTAAAGTTGCTTGCTATTCTAAAAGTTGGTGAAGTTTCCTTTCAACTTACTTCTCTATAAGGAATCCTAGAGAAGGGGCTTATAGGCCTGATTTCTGTATGTAATGGTGTTCTTAAACTTTTTGTTTTGATAGATTGTTGGGTCTGAGGTGGCTTCAGTTTCAGCAAGGACATCTCACGTAGATTTGAACTTACCTCCCCCAGATACCATATCATCTGTCTTGTAAGCCTCTATTTCATGAAGTTAATTTACAACACATGACTGCAAATCCAAGATTAATTTTTGTATGTTTTGTCTTAGTCAGTTGGAGAATGGATGTTCAGGAGTGTTTTCAGTGGTTGTCAACTCCCAAACACCCAAGGCAAGTGGTCAAAGATCATTCTTCTTACAAATGTGTTACACCTGCTAAGCTACTATTCATGCACTTATTTTTGTATGTCTTTACTCATAACTTTCAATATATTATAGTTTTTGTGGCGATTTGTTGGCTTGAATGGAACCCTGCATATTGAGCAAAGTTTCCAAGGAGAACAAGGTTACCTGGTATGTACCGAGTCTCTGTTACTGGTTTTCATAAGAAAAATGGCATCATTTTTTTATGTCTTGTGATGCCATGTATGTAGGTTTCTCTTCATGGTGCCGATGGACAAGTCAAAAGCTCCTTCTTTCCATCCGATGGAGTCATTGAGGAATTAAAAGCTTTTCTTAGTGATGTATCTGAAAACACCCTCAAGGTAAATTGAGTACAAAATCATTCCTCATTTTTGTGCTTGAATTCCTAACAAATTTGATTATTGTTCATGTTACATTTTTTTTTTATCAATTGCTTCTCCAAACATTTCTTAAACTAGAGATTTAGATAACTTTATGCATATTATAATAAAAAGATTAATTATGTTTGTAGTTTCTAAACTATGTGAAATTATAATTCAATTTTAGTCTCTAATTTATTCCATCTAGCAGAAGGGGAGTGAGTTTGTGGGTGAGCCCCGCCTCTCTTTTGTTGAGGGTGCAAGAGATGTTGCAGTGTTAGAGGCAGTATTTGAATCTGGAGCTAAGCAAGGTGAAGTTGTTCAGGTGAAAAAGTTTTGAGGTAATCATGGAACCAACCCTTTTCACCTTCAGCCTAGTTCAATGTTTACTCTGCAATGTTATGGAACAATCAACTCAACAAGGCCTTAAGAATTGATGAGTAAGCTTTTGTTTGAATAATTACCCTCGTCAATGTCAATGGATGAAGTTTTAGTATTTGCCTATAAATAATTAGTGCTGTAATAAAATCATGTTTATAAACTTTGATATTCACCTTGAATTATTTAATGCTCTTGAAATATGTCAAAACTAATTTATATATATACTTTGGTAGTGTATCATAATTGGAATCCTAGGAATTAAGATAAATAATTTTTATTAGTATTTTAGATAACTATATCAGTGGATAAGATGTGCTGCAATTAGTTTATGAAATTTTTGTAATGATTATTTTTTTAAAATTACAGAAGGAAAAAAAGTAATTTGATCTTATTTTTTAATGAAAAAAGCTTGTTGTTACGGTCCTTACATAATGATGGGTTCTGAAAACGTAGTAGAATAGTGATAATTTTCTTTTCAAACGCATTCTACAACCTTTGTTTTTCAGAAAAAATAAAATCACGTTAATATTAAAAGAATAAATTAAGGATTAAGTAAAACAAAAAGATTAAAATTATAGTTAAATATCATAGTAAAATGGACATTTCTTATGATTTTAGTTCGTAGTTTGGGCTTGTTCGGTTCACCAAACGAATAAATGTTAGAAAGAAAGAAATCACTACGTAATCAAATTCACTTTGGAAATCGTCAATAGATAGAATGAATTTTTTTAAAAACAATTATGACAATATTATGTTGATTTTTTTATTTTAATAGAATTTAACCATTTCAATATAAATTATTTTTACTTTTAATAAGTTCTTTTTTAAAATAAATTAATTTTTATTCAAATAATTTTGCGATTATATAATGAATTGTAACTAAATTAATGTTTAATTAAATTATCTGCCCACATAATATTCTGCATATACTATTAATTTGTATTTCTCTTCAAAAATAAATCTCTTAATAGAGATTGAAATATCCAAGAAAAAAAAAAACAAATCCCTTATTCGAGGAAAAGTGACGAGGAGAGTGTGTTTTCTAAGTTTTTCTAAAGAAATAAATGATAAATAGTTTTATTTCTTTAGCGAAAGTTTATCGCTTTTAAATCTATGATCATTTTAAAAAATTGTTTGACTTAAATATAATTGTTTAGAAGATGATCCTAATTTGTATGATTTGAAAAGATACTTATCAATTCTAATTTCATTATTCTTCAATTCTATTACTTTCTCTTCCGTACGATCTTCCTGTTCCTTCATGCACCGATCGACACTGTTCGGTCTCCATGCTCCATCGCTTACTGAACGGTCTCCTCGCACCACCGAACTAGACAGTCCTCAGAAAGGGTCGACTGAGCGGTTGATTATTAGGCCGGCCGCCCATTAGGCCGTCCACCTACCGGGTCGACCGGCTACCTAGGCTGAGCCGACCACATGGTTAGATTACAAACGATAATAGCTCATTAAAGTCCCTAATGAAGATTAAAGTGTGATTGAGCTCTCATTAGGCCGGCGAAAGGTAAAAGCCCACTATAACCAGTATAAATAAAAGTCTCAGGTATGATTACAAAAACAAACTGCACACGATGCACTGTATACATGCATTACTTATCGCTCGGTTACATCACTAACATGAGTGTTGGAGTGCCTTTGACAGGTGCACGCCCGCCCGACTTGGAGAAAGAGAAGGACGACCACCTGGAGTGCATTGGTCTTCAACCTAGTGCATGGAGCAGCGTCTGTCCGCCTTGAGCCCCGCCCGTCCGATCTTTAAAAGGTTTCATTTGTCCGGTCGGTAAGGTTTGCCCAGTCTTCAAGGTTCGTCCAGCCATCCACACAATCTTGAGTGCTTTGGGTATAAAACGTCAAACCTATATCCGAAACACTTTCTATTATATAATATATGTAATAAAAATTATAATATAAACCTATCATGATATTCTTCTTGTTCTTTTATACATTAGATTATTCTAATTCTATAAATTATAAATTATTTAAACTAAATTTATAATTTTCTTTTAAAACATCAAATTACTAAAATTCAATTTGTAATTAAACTATTAAGTCTTTTAAATTATTTTATACTAATTAAATAATTTGACTATACACATTTTCAATCAAATAAATAATGAAATGTCAACTTTCAACATCCATTTTTTTTAATTTACTTTTCCCCTACTTTTGTCAAAGCACGTCGGTTCTCAAATAAGCTAAAATCACATTCCCCTAAACCATAAACGACAGAGCCATTGCAAACATTTTTTTTTTAAAATCCAATGGTTGAAATAAATAACTTATATTTAATTGGTCTACTAATTAAGAAAAACAAGATAAGGAGGATTATTATTAAATTTGTTTTTGTAAATATAACTTTGGATTAATATAATTTTAGAATTTACTAAAAAAATTATCCTATTAAATTTGGTTCTGACACTTAAAACCTTCAGTGAAATAATTAACTAAGTCAATAAAATAAGATCAATCCAATATAGTAACATTAATTATACAACAAAGAGTGGAAACATTAATTTTAAACTTACTCTTATTTTCAATATTGATGATGATTATAGCAATCTTATAAATAAATTACGTAAAGAGCACCTACCATTCGAGATAGATAAGAATGAAGTTGAGAATGTAAAGAAGATATTTTTCCTCTGGTAAGAGAATTGTATATAATAAAATTAAATAATAGAACTTGTCAAATATATTTAAAAAAAAAAGTTGTGTGAAAGAGTTATTATTATTATTATTATTATTATTATTATTATTATTACAAATGTAAATAGTTTGCTTAAGAAGCATGGCATAATCTTGCCAATTGGCAAACCAGAAAGTAATATGATTTGAAGTAGCATCATTCTGTGACTCATTAATAAGAATTAATCAACTTCTAAACTTTATATTTATTACCTAAATGTCTTTCTCATAAAAAAAAAAAAGTTACCATTTGTCTCTGAACTTTACAATGAAAACGAAATCAGTAGTCACTTTGAACAATTTGACCAAGGCACGCATATCTCATTAATTTCATTTCAGAAAGTCATTTTCAATTTCTCAGTAGGAAAAAAAAAACAAAGATAAGGTCAAATTTAATTTTTGTTTATTTATTTACAATTTGTTTTGCAAATCAATTGAACAATTCAATTGCTATAGATAGAGGAAAACAAAACGTTAAAATACTGTGTAGATTCTCATTGTTTGAAAATATCGAATACTTCTTTGTATTTTCATTGGTCTCGATTGAGTTTCTAATTTTGAATACATGGTGTAATTTAATTATTTTTATTAGTATATTAACTTGTTACTTGATAATTCGTATTTTTTTTAATTTTAAAATAATAAAATAAATTTATCATTTGTCAAGTGTCTTATCATGTGACAATGGTAATGTAAAATTGTCTTTTAAAAATAGTGTTAATTTTTTTAAATATAATTTTATATTGATGGTTCATTTGGTAATATTATATCTTTTCGATAATTTTTTTAAAACATCCATCATTATGTGGCACATTTTCCATCTTATACATGTATTACATAAAAATAATTATAAGCAGGAATGATATCAGACATAAGAATTAGGTTAATTTTGAATTTGAGTATATATAGAAAGATTGAGTTGGATTCGTTCAAGTTTATTTTGAAGGTGTTTGAAGTGTTTCTGAGTTTGGACAAATCCAAATGCATTGGTTTTTAAAATTAAAACATTTAAGTTTTTTAAACTATATTGACGCAATCCAATATGTCATCAATCGGGTTGATTTATTTGGATTAAATAAAAAAACATAAATTCAATATAATCCAAATTAAAATACTTTAATGAAAATAGATAATACACTTATCTAAATTTAATCCAACATCGACTTGTGTTCGTCTCTTGATAATAAAATAAATAATGATACTTTGACAATATCTTTTTGACAATATTTTAACACTGTCTATGTGTCATTTTGTGATTGTTTCAAAATTATTCCACAATCAATAATAATAATCATAAACACCAATATAGACCAATCACAGAATGACACGTAGATAGTGTTAAAATATTATAAAAAAATGTTGTGATCATTATCGATAAAAAGTAATTATTCACAATCCCTTTTAATAATAAAATAGTAGTATAACAAAATACATACTTTTAAAAGAAAAGAAAACAATTGTGTCTCTCGTATAACATTAAGGTTTTAAAATGAAAGAAAAATATAAAACTTTTAATGTTAAAAAGTTTTTTGTTGAATAAAAAATCATATTAATTTTTTTTATTAATTTAATTTTGTAATAAAAATATAAATTTTACCAAATTACATTTTATTTAAAACTATCGTAGATCCAAATACACTTATTCAGCAGGATTTTTCAGCAAGCGCTACTTAACTTTTCTGAATAAGAATACTACAACTTGTTTGCATATTGTGTGGGAAAAAAATTCAGAACAATAAACAAACAAATAAAATATGTTATTAGAAAGTGGGTTTGGTTGTAGAATGATAAAATCAGTTTTCATAATATAGAAAAATTAAAATCATATTTCATAAGCTTCTTACTCTTCTATTTTCTTTTTTTCTTGTATGATTTTCTTCTCTTGTTTTATATTATATATATTTAAATAAGTTATTAAAATAATCCATCAAGTTTGATATTATTATTGTATTTTTTTAAATATTAAAAAATTTAGCCAAAAAAAATCATATAAAACCTCAATACATAACCTCTAAACTAAAATGATAAGATAATACATGTGTAGTCTTTTTTATATATTATCTATCTATATTTAATATATAATTTTTCATTTCATCTTAAATATTATATTTTTTAATTTAATATCGATAAAATTCATAATTATGATATAATGTTAAAAAATAAATTTAAATCTAATTCAATTTCATAAAATTAATTTATAAAAAAAAATTAATTTATAAAATAAAATTTACACTCACTTATATATTATATATTTTATATATTATATATTGTAAATTAGTTTCATTTTTAATGAAGACTTTCAATAAATTTCTAATCATATAATTATTGTTAAAAAAGAAATATATAATAATGTCAAAGACTTATGTCCATAAAGAAAATGTAGCAAAATTTTGTATATATTATGCAAATGTCATTGTCATTAAAAAGGAACAATTTGTAAATGCAGTTCAAATTGTATATAATTAATTTGTAGCAATGGTTTGAAATGCATATGGTTGA